GAGCAGAATCTATTATGCTTTAGCTGAAAAAAAGCAGGAGTAGCAATTCTGATCTCAGACAAAGTAAAAGCAAAAATAGACCTAATTTTAAAAGATAAGGAAGGAAATTACATCTTGTTAAAAGGAACCATAGACAATGAAGAAATATCAATACTAAACATATTTGCACCAAGTGGTATAGCATCCAAATTCTTAAAGAAGTTAAGTGAGTTATAGGAAAAAATAAACAGCAAAACCATACCAGCGGGGGGACCTCAACTGTCCCCTCTCAGAACTTGATAAATCCAACCAAAAAATCAACAAGAAAGAAACTAAGAAGGTAAATATAATATCAGAAAAGTTAGCTATGACAGGCCTTTGGAGAAAACTGAATGGGAACAGAAAGGAATATACCTTTCTCTCAGTAGCATATGGCACCTACACAAAAACTGACCATGTATTAGGGCATAAAAACCTCAAAATCAAATGTAGAAAGGCAGAAATATTAAATATTCTTTTTGGATTATAATGCAGTGAAAATTACATTCAACAAAAGGCAATGGAAAGGGAGATTAAAAATTAACCAGAAACTAAATAATCTAATCCTAAAGAATAAGTGGGTCAAAGAACAAATCATAGAAACAATAATTTCATTAAAGAGAATGACAACAATGAGACAACACACCAAAATTTATGGGATGCAGTCAAAGGAGTACTTAGGGGAAAATTTATTTCTCTAAATCCTTACGTATCAACAAAACAGAAAAAGAACAGATCAGTGAATTGGGCATACAACTAAAAAACCTTAAAAAAGAACAAATTAAAAATCCTCAATTAAGCACCAAATTGGAAATCCTGAAAATCAAAGGTGAGATTAATAAGACTGAAAGTAAAAAAAACTATTGAGCTAATAAACAATCTAGGAGCTGGTTTTATGGAAAAACACCACTAAGACAGATAAGCCATTGGTTAATTTAATTAAAAAAAAAAAGAAAGAAACCAAATATCTAGTACCAAAAATGAAAAGGGTAAAATCACCACCAATGAAGAAGAAATGAAAGTAATCATTAGGAAATATCTTGCCAAATTATATGCCAATAAATCCGACAATCTCAGTGAAATCAATGAATATTTACGAAAATATAAATTACCCAGATTAACAGATCAGGAAATACAATGCCTAAATAACCCCATCTTAGAAAAAGAAACTGAACAAGCCATCGATGAACTCAAGAAAAATTCCTAGGGCCAGATGGGTTCACAAGTAAATTCTACCAAATATTCAAAGAACAATTAATTCTATTATACAAACTATTTGGAAAAACAATTGAAGGAGTCCTACCAAACTCCCTTTATGACACAAATATGGTGCTGATACCTAAACCAGGAAGAGCTAAAACAGAGAAAGAAAATTATAGACCAATTTCCCTAATAAATATCGATGCAAAAATTTTAACAAAATACTAGCAAGGGGATAACAGCAATACATCTCAAGGATTATACACTACGACCAGGTAGAATTTATATCAATAATGCAGAAGTGGTTCAATATTAGGAAAACTATCAACATAACTGACCATATTGATAACAAAACCAACAGAAATCATATGATTATCTCAATAGATGCTGATAAAGCTTCTGACAAAATACAGCACCCACCCTATTAAAAACAATAGAGAGCATAGGAATAAAGGGAGCATTCCTTAAAATGATAAGCAGTATCTATTCAAATTCATCAGCAAGTATTATCTGTAATAAGCTAGAAGCCTTTACAATAAGATGAGAGGTAAAGCAAGGATGCCCATTATCACCACTATCATTCAATATAGTACTAGAAATGTTAGCAATAAAAGAAGAAAAAGAAATCAAAGGAATTAGAATAGGCAATGAGGAAACAAACTATCACTCTTTGCAGATAATATGATGGTATACTTAGAGAACCCTAAAGAATGAACTAAAAAACTAGATGAAATAATGAACAACTTTAGCAAAGTTGTAGGATATAAGATCAACTCACATAAATCACCAGCATTTTTTCATATGACCAACAAAGCCCAGCAGCAAGAGACAGAAACAGAAATTCCATTTAAAATAACTATGGAGTCTACTTGCCAAGATAAACCCAGAAACTACATGAACACAATTATTTTTCACACAAATAAAGTGAGATCTAAACAACTGGGAAAATATCAATTATTCATGGGTAGACTGAACCAATATAATAAAAATGACAATTCTGCCTAAACTAATTTACTTATTCAGTGCCATACTAATCAAACTACCAAAAAATAATCTGATAGAGCTAGAAAAAATAACAACAAAACTAATCTGGAAGAATAAAAGGTCAAGAATATCAAGGAAATTAATGAAAAAAAATACAAAGGAAGGTGGTCGAGTAATAGCAGATCTCAAACTATATTATAAAGCAGTAATCATCAAAACTATTTGGTACTGACTAAGAAATAGAGTGGTGGATCAGTGGAATAGATTAAAGTACACAAGACACAGCAGTCAATGACCATAATCACCTAGTGTTCGATAAACCCAAAGACCCCAGCCTTTGGGATAAGAACTCACTCTTTGATTAAAAAAACTGCTGGTAAAACTGGAAATGAATAGGACACAGACTAGATACAGACCAACATCTCACACCATATACCAAGATAAGGTCAAAATGGGTACATGATTTAGACATAAAGGGTGACACCATAAGCAAATTAGAAGAGCAAGGAATAGTCTACCTATCAGATCTATGGGGAAGGGAAGAATTCATGACCAAACAAGAGATAGAGAGGACTAGGAAATGTAAAATAGATAATTTTGATTATATTAAAATAAAAAGCTTTAGTACAAACAAAACCAATGCAACCAAGATTAGAAGGAAAGCAGAAAGCTGGGAAACAATCTTTACAACAAGTGTCACTAATAAAGGCCTCATTTCTCAAATATATAGAGAACTGAGTCAAATTTATAAGAATAGAAGACATTCTCTAATTGATAAATGGTCAAAGGATATGAACAGGCAGTTTTCCGATGAAGAAATCAAGGTTATCTATAGGCAGATGAAGAAGTGCTCTAAATCACCTTTTTTTTTTTTTTTTGGTAAGGCAATTGGGGTTAAGTGACTTGCCCAAGGTTACACAGCTAGTACATGTCAAGTGTTTGGTCTGAGGCTGGATTTGAACTCAGGTTCTCCTGACTTCAGGGCCGGTGCTCTATCCACTGCGCCACCTAGCTGCCCCTCTAAATCACTTTTGATTAGAGAAATGCCAAGTAAAACAATTCTGAGGTACCACCTCACACCTATCAGAATGGCTAACATGACATAAAAGGAAAATGATAAATGTTGGAGAGTATGTGGGAAAATTAGGACACTAATGCACTGCCAGTGGAGTTGTGAACTGATCCAACCATTCTGGAGAGCAATTTGGAATATGCCTAAAGGGCAACCAAACTGTGCATGCCCTTTGATCCAACAATACCACTACTAGGTCTGTATCCCAAAGAGATCACAAAAAAGGGAAAAGGACCTACATGTGCAAAAATATTTATAACAGCCCTTTTTATAGTGGTAAAATATTGGAAATGGAGGGGATGCCTATCAACTGGGGAATGGCTGAACAAGCTATGGTGTGTGAATGTAATAGAATATTATTGTGCAGTAAGAAATGATGAACAGGCAGATTTCAGAAAAACCTGGAAAAACTTCTATGAATTGATGCAAAGTAAAATAAGCAGAACCAGGAAAACACTGTACACAATATCAGCAACACTGTGTGATGATCAACTAACTATGAATGACTCAGTCTTCTCAGTAACAGAATGATCCAAGAAAAACACAAAGAACTCACAATGGAAAATGCCACCCACATCCAGATAAAGAACTGATGGACTCTGAATGCAGATCAAAGCACATTTTTTTCACTTACTTTATTCTCTTCTGTGTTTTTCTTCCCTTTTGATCTATTTCTTCTTTCACAACTGTGATTAATATGGACATGTTTTACATGATAATACATGTATAACTTACATCAAATTGCCTACCATTTTCAGAAGAGGGGGGAAAGGAAGGAAGGGGGAAGGAAGAAAAATTTGGAACTCAAAATCTTGTAAAAAATACATGCTTTGGGGCAGTTAGGTGGTGAAGTGGATAGAGCTCTGGCCTTGGAGTCAGGAGTTCAAATCTGGCCTCAAACACTTGACACTCACTAGCTGTGTGACCCTGGGCAAGCCACTTAGCCCTGATTGCCTCACTAAAAAAAAAAAAAAAGAATGCTAAAAATTGTCTTAACATATAATTGGGAAAAAGTATTATTAAAAAAATTTCATGACTTTCAATATAATTGGTTTCCTTTGTAATGCTATGTATTTTATTTTATGCATCTAAAAACATCATTCTGACAAGGACATAGACTTCAATCAAACAGATCAACAAAGGGATCCACAACACAAAAAAGGTTAAGAACCCCTGCTTTAGAGTAATGAAAATACACGAGGCCACCCTGCTCAGTACAGACCGCTTGGGGAATGGATGAGGACACAGGGATGATCTGACGCTGGGGTGACTAGGATAAAGCTATTCTCTATAGCTATTAAAGATATTTTCCTATAAACTATCAGCAGTCAAGTTGTTTAAATCAATTAGAGAACTGACTGGGTATATATGAGGAAGGAAACTGCAAAAAATACTGGTTTCCCTACTACAAGAACCACAGAGACCAACTTCAGCTGGTATCCAAATTATCATGATTCCAAAGGAACTTTCACATACTTATGTGCCATCAATAAGGTTTCCCCTAACCTTCCCACACCTGAAGATAGGGTTTGGCCTTTACCAAACTTAATAAAAAGTGATTCTAATTATATGAAATTTAAGAATAGATTTGTCCCAACTCTCAACTCTAGACTCCAAAGGAAAACTCCTTCCTACTAAAAAGAAACAATAATAGCTACTTTGTGTGAACATTCCTCAAATCTGAAGTAGGACCGAAAGTAGTATCTTATGTGGATAGCATACCAACCTGGAGGCTTTTCGAGTGTCATGGTAAAGACTTCGGCTGATTCTGGGTTTCTGCAAAGCTGAAGTTGGTGCAGGAGTAGAATTTCTCCAGTGGCCATTTACACTCTGACCAAATGTTCTTGGCTCAACCAGAAAGCTGTCTGAGGAAGGGCTATCTAAAAGAAAAAAATACGTATATCATAAATTATAATGTCTGTTTAAAATTATCTGTATTTAGAGCATTATTTATAGAGAAAGGAAAAATTAGAGTAAAAATGTTTTAAAAATATGCATCAACTGACACTTTGTCCTTCAAGAAAAGACTAAATAAACCTATGACCCTTTGATTAATCTGCAACTCGTCCAACAAAATTAGCTGATAAAGAATTTTCCCCTCCATTCACCTACGGTGGCCTCCACTGTGTTGATTATGAAAGAGGTGTGGATTTGGAGTCAGAACACCTAGATTCAGATCCCAGCTCTGGTATGTGGTATCTGTGTGACTTCAGGTCAGTCATTTAAGTGCTCTGGGTCTCAGTTTCCTCATCTGCAAATCAGGGAGGGTAGATGAGATAATCTTGAAGACCCATTCTAGCTCTAAATTACATGATTTTATAGAATGGAAATATCATAGTAATTATCACTGACTCATTTTCTAAACCTATTTATAAATCCAAGGTTTCTTTCATAGAACTTTTTTCAAAACAGTACTATTTAGATTAGCACAAAATGATATTTTATCAATCTTAGCTTAATGACAAGAAATTCGCATTAATGTAACTTCAAAATTAGATTGTAATATTTTTTGTTCTTTGTGTTAAAGAAATCCCCAATACATTTTCCTAACAAACTACATTCATCTGTTGATGTTATCTTCGTACAAAGCCATAAAAATCAAATCCTAAAATGCACAGTACAAATATTGACCTTTATCCCTCACACTCTTCTGTTTAAGTTTAACCAAGAAATAGTCTCTGAGTACTAATGTCTATTTGAGGAATAAGTCTTGTCAAGAAACCCAAATTATCCTGACAGGCATGAAATTTGAGACCAGGGCTGATGCAGAGTGACCTTCCCAATGGTATGTGATAGAAGGTTCAGCCTCAAAGAACATGATACCAGGGAGTCATCACATCCAGAATTAGCTGGTTTTATCAGGGTCTTGATGAAATCATATAATTCTCTTCAGCTGTTAAAGTGATCAAGCAAAGCCAGACAAGGTCCACCAGGGAGCACCATAGACATTCAGCCTAGGAAGGGTTTTGATCTGGGATTCTGGCATTACTGAGAAGTCAAGAGTTGTAAATGTCATGGTTAAGATTACATATTAAGCAATAACTTGCCAAAGAGGTGAACATCAATGGCTCCCTTTTTTGGAGGTGCACTAAGTTTAGTATCCACTTAAAAACTACTGCAATAAAATATCTTAAAAGTAAATAGCATCCAAGAAGTCACTAAACTATGCATACCCTTTGACCCAGTATTTCCACCAAAAGAGGTAAAAAAGAGGTAAAGAACCCATATGTGAAAAAATACAGCAGTTCTTTTTGTTAGGACAAAAAAAAAACCTGATAACAAAATAGGAGAATGGCTTAACACATTTTGATACATGAATGTAATAGAATATTATTGCATCACAAGAAAATGACGAAGGGGATGGTTTTCAGAGAAACCAGAGAAGTCTTACATGAACTGGTGCAAAGTGAAGTAAGCAGAACCAGGAGAACAATTTATATAAAATCTTTGGAAGACTTAAGAGTAATAAAGAAAAGGAAAGAAAATCCAGGTCTTCCTGGCTCCAAGCCCAATTCTCTATCCATTGCACCATACTGTTTTTCTTTTTAAAATATTGGTCTCAAATTGATATGAGAATTAGATTTTTAAAAACTTAATTCAAGAAGACAAGCATACACTCTATGACTTACTAAAGAGTAATAATTGTTATGACTCCAAGGTTCCCAGTTTACCCAACTATATTGAGATTTCAGTCAGTCAACAAGCATTTATTAAGCACCTACTATGTGCCAGGCATTGTACTAAATGCAGGAGATAAAAAGAAAGAGAAAAAACAAAAACAAACAAAAAAAAACATCCAGTGCCTCTTCACAAGGAGTTCACAGTCCAACAGGGGAGATAACATGTAAACAGCTACTGTATTACAAACAAGGTATTTGCAGGACAAATTGGAGATAATTAACAGAGCAAAAGCACTAGCATTAAGAGGGACTGCGAAAGGCTTCAATTGAAGATGGGATTGTAACTGGGACTTGAAAGAAGCCAGGGAAGCCAGAAGATGGAGAGAAGCCTGAGATAAGCAGGGAGAGCATTCTAAGCATGGGAGAGAGCCAGTGAAAATGCTGAGAATTGGGAGATGGAATGTTTTATGTGATGAAGAGCTAGGACGGAATCTCAGAATCAGAGAAGAAGCAAATATCAGTATATAGTCATGATAACAGGACAGATAAACCAAGGACCTCCAATTTGGTCCAATCAGTTGGCAAGAAGTGAGGCCAACGTGACTAGGGTAGTTACTGTTTAAATAAATAAATAAGTCCAAAAGAAGTTGTAAAAACAAATAGAAAATCCAATGGATTGGACAAGGGCAGACTGAAAGAGAAATGAAAGAGATGAAAGAGAAATTTTAAAATGAATACACAGTTAACAAATAAGATTACACAAAAAATTAAATGGATAGGAGAAAGTTATGAAGACATATATCTTGGATTCAAATGGAAACATTAATCACACAAATTCCTTACTGATTGGTAAGTCAGTAGGGCACTGAAAAATTAGAATTTCAGAGCTGGAAGAAACCTTAGAGATCATTTGGTTCAACCCCTTCATTTTGTATAAATTAATTAAAGCCCAGATAGGTTACATGATTTGCCCAATGTCACATTTCAGATTAACGACAGACTCAGAACTAGAATATAAAACTCCTGATTTCCAGTTCCATGCTCTGTCCTCTACACAGCCCAATTTAGAGGTCAATGACTCTTTCCACTCTATCATGCTACTTCTCAATACGCTTAGTATACCTCTCTTCTATGGGAGGATCAGTTAGGAGAGAGGAATGCCAACTACGGAATGTATGATGAACAAAAAGGAATAGCTATGACAGGTGCTAGAAAGAATTTATGGCTAATGTGTCAATGAACAAGCTTGGGTCCAAGTAAAGTATCACTGTTTATGTTTAATTATTCCTATTTTTTTGCAGTCCTCTTTAACCAGAGTTTTTAAGGATTTTTTGGAGATTCTCATTGCAAAGTTAAATCTTTTAAAACCAAATCATAGTTTTTCAAAGAACATATACAGGTTCCAATAGGCCAAAAATTAAGTTTTAAATCAATGCCATGTTCTCTGTACATCACCAAAAAAAAAACCCTCAATTTTTTTTTCCAGCTGCCACTGCTGTTCTCCCCACACAGAAATGTAACTGTAAAACAGGAGGCTGGATTAGAAGAAAACTATCTAAATAGTTTGGTGGCACAGTGGACAGAGTACTCTGCCTGGAATCAGGAAGACCTGAGTTCAAATGTGACCTCAGACACTTACTAGCTGTGTAATCTTGGGCAAATCACTTAACCCTGTTTGCCTCAGATTCCTCATCTGTAAAATGAGCTGGAAAAGGAAATTGCAAACCACTCCAGTATCTTTTCAAGAAAACCCCAAATGGGGTCACAACTGAATGATCAAACATCTAAATAAAAACTTGAATTTAGTTGTGACTAGAATTGAAAAACAGTAACCAAAAGAAGAGCTTTAAAGTAATGCTATAAGAGAGAAATGATACATCATTCTTAACAATTGCTAAACTTTAAGTGATAGCAACTACAAATATTGAACTGGAAAGAAATATATAGCATACTAGAAGCGCATTTTATGATTCCAAGAAATGCATCATACCTGAATAATAATTTGGGTTATATACTGTACTCCTTGTGGAACAAGTAAAAGGTGGATCCAAATTTTCAGGCCTGGAAGGCAAACCCTAACAAAATAAAGAATTTTTAAAAGTCAGATTTCAGATAATAAGATGTGAAGAAAAATATATATATAAAAAGAAATTTTGTTCATTAAGTGAGACTACAATACATGGTAGAAAGCAAGAAATTTAAGCAAAAAATCTGAGAAGGAAAAAACTGGCAGTTGGACGAAGTGATTAAGGATACAAAAATGAAAAAGAATGGAATAATTCAAAAGTTGTTTCAAGATTTTACTTTAATTCAAATCATGCTCATTCGCACAGTACATATCTCATGATATGGGTAGAAACTATTAGCAACAGTTCAATTAGAGGTTCTCAGAGCAGCTACAAGCAGACACATTTTCTTTATCATTGCTCAGCAACTTCACTAATTTATTAGAGCACTTATGTTTATGCTACAATGTTTATTAAGTATCTATTCAGAACGTAGCATGTTTCCTCAATGCTGTATTGCTCCAGAGAGCTCATAAGTAATTTGATAAGTGTTTCATCTGCAAAATATCAAACACTAAAATTCGCTCATTAATGTTCTTTATCTAAGAAAATTCATATAGCGGTCATTTGGACAGAGAAATATAACTATATTCAAGAAAAATTTAAAAGAGAAAACATTTAAAATAAGTTAAGAAGTGATTCCAAACCTGGTGGTCAGAAAGCAAAAGTTGGTTCTCTTGAAAACCTATCTCTGGCAGATGTGTTTTGAATATGGTGTTGTGGTTTACTAAAGTTATTTCTCTGGACTCCATCTTCATAGTATCAGAAATCTCATCTGAAGGAAAGAGCACAAATTAGTCCATTTTACTGTATGCCTCAATCTAAATTCTCTCTTGCTGAATCAACTTTTTGTTCTGATTTACTTTTTAAATTTTTTATTGATGCATTTTTATGCCACAATCATAACCCAGGAACCTCTCCCCATACCCTTGTCCCCCAAAACAAACAAATGATAAGTTTTTTTTTTTAAAAAAAGAACTAATTTTTGGACGCAACATAATTTGAGTGATTTCCAAAGATGATGTTATAAAACAATTCCACAATTAAGTGGAGTCTCTTCCTCTAACTACTCTAATCACTAGCAAGCCATCTTAATTGGAGTGAGAAAAAGGATTAAGTGCAGAAATTTGCCTATTTACAAGTAGGGTGTACTACAGGCAAAGTAGCAGATAGAACCTTCAGAAGTACATAAAATGCTTTCTTCAAGCCTTAAAAACTAAGCATATTATTAAAAACCAGACTTCTCCCCAAAAAGACTCCCACACTTTTGTATTTAAATAAAAAATAAATAATTCTATTTACTCATTCTTATACTCTATGCTACTGAATTTTTTTTAAAGTATGGGATGGATCTTTTTTTTTTTTTTGGTGTTTTCTTTTTTAATTTGCATTGGTTTCTTTGATTTTCTTTAAAACTTTCTTTACAATAAGTATACCCATAGAGTCCAACTGGGGCATAACATGGAATTACATCAGCCAATCACCAATATAGAGTAAGGCCATTATTTCTGCCATAAAATAATAAATTCAGTCAGACACATATAGGAAATAGAAGCAAAGACAGGTAACTAAGGGTAAATACAAAGGAGTAAAAATGGTAGCAAAGACAGGTAACTAAGGGTAAATACAAAGGAGTAAAAATGGTATCAGTAATCCTAAAGCTAAGAGGTTGACGACGGTGAATACTAAAGACAACAAAAAGAAGCTTTCTAGCTATAATGGGACAGAAATGATCAAAAAAGGGACAAGCCATTTGGTGTGGCTGGAATGACAAAGGATGATAGAAAAGGCTTAAGTATTCAACCTTTATTTTGCCTCTGTCTTCTCTACCAAGGAAAAAAAAACTTTGGACTACAATAGAATCAAAACGATTAGCAGGAAGGTGAAATGCACACGAGGTTCACAATAGGTGAGGTGATCAAAAAGCACCTAGCTGTCCTCAAGTAGCTCAAGTTCTTAGGTCCTGACAAACTGCACCCCAAGGTAATGAAAGAACTTAGGCACATGTACAAGCGGTGATCCTTCAAAAATCATGGAGAAGGAAAGAGATGCCACAAACCTGGAAGCAAGAAAATACAATACTGATTTTGAAATAAAAAAATAGATAGTAGTCTTCATAGGATGAGCAGGTGGGCTTGACTAATTCCTGGCAAAATTCTAGAATGTATGATTTTAGGAAGCGATGTGGTGCCCTCTAGGAGTAAGCATTTCTTCATCAACAGGTCATGGAAGATGAATCTCATTCCCTGTTTTGACAGGGGTACTAGTTACTCAATCAGGAAAATAACATTGACAGTGAATGCTGGGATTTCTCCCACACATTTGCTAAAGTTTCTTACAATATTCTACTGGACAAAATAGGGAGATGTGGGTTAAATGACTTGTATAGTTACGTAGGTTCTGAATTGTTTGAATAGCTGGATCCAAAGAATAAGGAGCAAAGGGTCTACAACAATCTGAAAAGAGGTTTACAGTGGAGTATCCCAGGAACCTGTCCTGGGCCCTGTACAGTATTTTTTTTTATCACTGTACTGGATAAAAATACAAAGACTATACTTGAACAACTGGCAGATGACAGAAAGCTGGGAAGGAAAGTTAAGATGTTAGGAAACAGAGATGGGTTCTAAAAGATATCAACAGAATAGAATGATGAGCTGAATCAAAGAAGAAAAAATTGGTTAAGGATAAATGTCAAATCTTGCCCTTAGATTCAAAAGTACACTGTACAAGGACAGAATAAGGGAAGCATGGTCAAAATCCAGTTTGTGTAAAAGAATTCTGGGAGTTTCAATGAACTGCAAGCTCAATTAGTCAGCACTGTGACATGACAGCCAAAAATCTAATTCTGTGTTAGATTGCATTAATAAAGGCATAGTATCTAAAGTAAGGGATCATGATGGTCTCCCTTGTACTCTGTCCTATTTAAAATATGTTTTGAGGGCTTTGTTCAGTTCTGGCCATGTTTTAGTAAGGAAAATGACAACTTGAATGCATGAAGAACAGAGTCACTAGGAAGGTGAGGAAACTAAAGAGCATACTTACTAGGCTCAACTGAAAGAACTGGAAATGTGCAGTCTTGAGAAGAAAAGCATAGAAGGGACATGAGTTGTCTTCAAGTACCTCGGGGTAGTTATATTAGAAGAGGGATTTTCTGCTTAGCCCTAGAGGACAGGACCAAAGTGGACTGAGCTGTTTCTAGAGGTAGTAGATTCCCCCATCATTGGAGATCTGCATGTGAAGGACTTGTTGAGAATATTGTGGAAGGAATTCCTATTCAGGAAGTACTGTCCTAGATAACCTGTGAGGTACCTTCCAACTCTGAGATGAGCTCTATGACTCGGTGATATTTGTTACTAACCAGACAGATGTAGCCTAAATTGGCAAGAACCGTGGAAATTCAATGAGAATAACAACAAACAATATGGTGGAAGGGAAGGGAAGAGAAATAGGAGGGGGGAAATGTTGGAAAGAGGAGGAAGAGAAGACAACGGGAAAAAGAGGTGGTTGTGTTTTTTGTGTTTGTCCTTCGTTCTCAAAGAGGACCATGACATCAGGGAGATGATGACATGACTTGTATGACTCTGATTTGAGTGAGGGAAGGCTGTGCAAGGTCACCAGCCTCAGTTTCACCTCCAGAGCCATCCGAGTCCGGTGGCCAGATATACACAGGACGACTGGAGATGGCTCAGGATGCAGGGGAGACCCTGGACTTTAGCTTAAAAAGCTAAAGTCTTTTCAGGTTTTCACTTTGAGTGAGGTTATAACCATTCAGCGAATAGGCCTCTTTAAGAGGTGTGTCAAGGGATGGTCCCTTTAATAAAAAATTGAACTGGGAGGGGAAGACCCTCAGGATTGCTGGCCAAAAGAGAAGCAGTTACTATCTACATTCACTCCGAGCAAGGAAGCCCCAAAAAAACAACCATGAAGTGGTGCTTGGACAGGGACCTATTGTTGTCCAATCTATGAGCTCCTGAGCCATCCTGGGCCATCTCCAGTCAAATCTGGTCACTGCACCCAGATGGCTCTGGAGGAGAAAGGGAGGCTGGTGACCTTGCACAGCCCTCCCTCACTCAAATCAGTCAATTGCAAGTCATGTGATCATCTCCCTGATGTCATGGTCCTCTTCAAGAACGAAGCACAAACACAACCTGTGAGTAGTCTGAGTTGCCAGAATGGGGACTCAGCCAGTCAGTTCCAGTTGGGAAAAAGAACAGAAAGAAAGGAAGGAGGGAACTAATAGAATATAAACATCACAGTGGATATGGTAAGCTGTAATCTTACAGCTTTTTATGGCCAATCTCAAATTTCTTTCAAATTGGCTACGAGTTATTGATTTCTTCTATGGAAAAAAAAAAAGAAAAGCAGACTGCTATGAACTAAACAGTAGGAAATGTTATGTTATAGCCACAACAGCTCCCAAGACCATATAAATAGAGCCAGAAATTCACATAAAGCAGATGATTTACTGTACTTTGCTTTCTTCTGTAAAAGAAATTAGAAGATGCCTCTTAACCGCTCTATTTAGAAATACCTTATCAAAATGAGGTTTGTGTACATATTAAGTAATTAGAACTGAAAAAGCACTTAAAATTAACATCAAGTACAAAGATAGAAACCCTAGAACCATGAGAAAAGATGGTCAGACCTTTGTACTCTTATCTCTAGTGCAACTGAGATGTCATAGGAGTTAACACTTCTACCTCCATATGGTTGTTCTTACCCATGTCCAGTCTTCTCAGATCACATAATTCAGAGAAGATACAGAGTCCTAGAAAAGACAGTACACAAAAGAATATTACATGCTGAATACAGTATGTATATATGTATCCATATATACATATACTATATATGTGTATGTATACACACACATGCTTATAATAGCACAAGAAGCTGTAAGAGGACAAGTTAATCTTGGTGTTCTTTGTAAATAGTTAAAAGCAAAATAAATATAAGACAAGGGGGAATTGGCCCTATTTCCCTCAAATGCAAAATGGAGGGTCAGATTAGATCAGGAGTTGTTAACCTTTTTTATGCCACAGACCTCTTTGGAAATCTGATGAATGTTTCTCAAAAAATGTTTTTAACTTTATAAAATAAAATACATAGGATTACAAAGGAAACTAATTATAATGAAATAGTTATCAATTTTTTTTTTTAACAAAGGGTCAAAGATGTCAGGTTTAAGAATCCCTGGACTAGATGGTCTTTTCTGAAGTTCCAACTTTAGATCTATGATCCCATGATTCTATGGCAGGAAAATGAATGATTAGAAAGTAATAAAATTAAGCTGGGGTAAACATTATGCTATCTAGAAGGGACATTAGAGATCACTAGCCCAACCTCCTCATTTTACAAATGAAAAAACTGAGAACCAGAGAGTAAGTTAAATAATCTCTGTGCAGTCACATAACTTGAATAAAGCTAAATAGTCAAAATTAGAACTCAAGCCTTCTTACTTATCATGGTCTAGTGTTCTTTCCTACCATCTAATTCAGGCAGATTTATCTAAAATTGATGCTGAGGGACTTTCTTAGTCCATACACATATCTAATCATAAATTATACGTAAATAGAAGGATTGATAGACAGATAAAAGCCTGGCAGTGTTCCAGGCAGTATATAATTCTCTGCCTTTCTCTGACTGACATTAACCGACATTCACTAAGGTTGAAATAATGCATAATATACAGTAAAGATTACGTTATACTGCACAACTTCTTCCTAGAACTACTAAAGACCAAAGTGTCTGATCACTTAGAGATCTAAGTTAAAAATGTTTCCCCAGCTAAAATTTAAGTTTTAAAGTTGCTCAATGAGCCAGATTCTCCCTCTCAAAAGACAAAAGACACTGCTCCCAACCATCCTACCCCCATATTTTCTTTTTAAAATGTCTTCAGATCTTGGTAAAGAGGAGAAAATTAGATTTGTCATAGAATTAAAATACCCTTTTCTCAGTTCACTATATCAGGCAAGTCATTCAATAATCAACTTTCACTATTCACTACTCTCCTCACCTTAAAAACAACAGCCCTAAAAAAATTTCTTCATTAGCCCTCTTCCCCTTCCCAAACCCGCTTAGAGGGTGCCTCTCCAGGACCAGTCTTAGGAAAGCAACAACAATCTTCAGCTTCACTATCTACTCTACTTTTCCACAGAGCTGGTACTCATTCCTTAAACATCACCCACCTATCTACAACCATAACCAAGTCAAGTCTGCAGATTGTTCCTATATAAGATCTGTTGACCTACTCCCAATTGCCCCCATTCACCAGCTTTCTAACTTTATGGGCCAAAGTGCTCCTTCCTAGATACCATATACACATAATTTGTTTTTTTATGCATTCATCTTCTCATGGCAAAAAAAGAATGCTCTTTGTCAAGGACAGAAGGGTTCCACCTCAAATTCCCCATCTGATAGCTTTTTATATTCTAGTGAGATGAAGATAAAAAGGAAAATAGTCTTTCTTTGAAATTCTAACACCATGTCCCACACTAAATCCTTCCCCCAACCACAGCCACTAGAATGTAACGTAGGTTGGAAGGGAGGAGTGTAGGACACATTTTTTTGTTTTTTGGTGAGGTAATCAGGGTTAAGTGATTTGCCCAGGGTCACATAGCTAGTAAGTGTCAAGTGTCTGAGGCCACATTTGAACTTAGGTCCTCCTGACTCCAAGGCCAGAGCTCTATCCACTGCGCCACCTAGCTGCCCCTAGGATACATTAAAAAAAAATGCATAGTTAGTTCTCCTCTCTACAGAATATGTGTGTTTACTTCGTGATAAGTGACATATGTACAATTTGGATTCAAAGACTTCAATCAATCAACAAACACTTATTAAGCACTGAATACATGCCTGGCACCATGCTAAGTGCTGGGGATACAAAAGAGGCAAAAGACACTGCCTTCAAGGAGCTTACAATCCAATGGGAGAGACAACATACAAATAAATATATACAAAGAAAGCCAAAAACAGGATAAATAGAAAATAATTAACAGAGGGAAGGCACTGAAATTAAGAGAGGTTGGGGAAGGCTTCCAGTAGGTGTGATTTTAGTTGGGACTTAAGGGAAGCAAGTAAGGTCAGTAGTCAGAGTGAAGGAGGGAGAGTGTTTTAGGCATAGGGGACAGCCAAAGAAAATGCCCAGAGCCAAGAAATGGAGTGTTTTGTTTGTGGAATAGTCAGGAGGTCACTGTCACTGGATTAAAGAGTATGTGGTGGAAAGAAAGGTATACAAAAACTGGATAAATAGGAGAAGGCTAGGTCATAAAAAGGGCTTTGAATGCCAAACAGCATTTTGTATTTTATCCTAGAGGCAAAGAGGAGGTTGATGAGGTGCTTGGGTGCCTGTACTCAGACCCCAGTTCCAAGACCACGTTTCTCCCTAGCCTCAAAATACTATCCCAGACAGTTTTCTCCCCAGCCCAAACACCCTATCTCTGACAATAACTCAAAAGTGGACCCAGTGAGGCAAACTATCTCTCCCTGTTACAAGAACAAGTTGACTTCTGTAGAAGTGCCTTTGTATGAACAAGACTATCTTACATCAATAAAACTATCATGTACTAATTCCTACAGTTATCATGTACAATCCAGAGGTCAAGTTATAGACATCAACTCCCTAAACTATCTTGTTACAGACATAACAGACCAAAAATACACCCCTTAGGAACCCCCCTCCCCAGTTTCCAGTAGTAAATAACGCCTGGGGCTAAGGTTGTATGTTATCACTTGGCACACAATCCACTACTTTTTCCATATAAGCTTTAGCATCATTCCTATTAGGCTCCTTAAGGAGCTCTGCCCACCATGGCAAGTTCCCTTAGGGAGCTCTACCCTTATTAGCCATTATAGGCATTATAAGCCATTAGCATATTATAATGCCTATTAGTGTTATAATAAACTTTTTCGAATTCGATTTAAAGAATGCTTGAGTCTGTGAATTCATTCCAGACAACCCTGTCCTGTACTTTGATCCTGGGGGGGGGTGTCCCTGAACCTCTCAAACCATATCAAGGTGACATAATCAGACCTGTGATTTAAGGAAAATTACTTTAGTGGCTGAATGGAAAATGGACTACAGTGGCAGGCAGACCTACCAACAGGCTATTGTAATAGTTCAGATGTGATGTAAATCTACCACTGAGGTGGAAGCAGTTATCAGGGGAGATAAGGGTGTATATTCAAAAATGTTGTAGGGGTGAAATAGACAGGCCTTGACAATAGACTGGATAAGGGGGCAGGAGACAGTGAGAAGTCAAAGATGACTCTGAGCAATGGGAGGATGGTGTTGCACTCTATAGCAACAGGGAAGGCTGGGGAGGGGGGTGTTTAAGTGGAAAGATGGTGAGGCCAGTTTTGGACATATTAACTTTAAGATGTCTACTGGATATCCAGTTGGAGATGTAAGATTGGAGGTCAGCAGAGAAGCTGGTGAAGGATAGATAGATTTGAGAATCATCAGCATAAAGATGGTAATTATATCCATGGGAGCTGATAAGATCAGTAAGTGAAGTAGTATAAAAGGAGAAAAGAAGTGGACCCAAGATAGAACCCTGTGGGCCACCTATGGTTAGAGGGTGTGATCTGGATGAAGATCTAGCAGACAAGGTGGAAGGAGAACCAAGAGACAGTGGTGTCTCAAATATCCAGAGAGAAGAGAGTATCAAAGATAGAAGGATCAACAGTGTCAAAAGCTACAGAGAGGTCAAGGAGAATGAGGACTGAGAAAAGGCCATTGGGATCTGACAACTAAGAGATCATTAATAACTTTGGAGAGAGCAATTTCTGTCAGCAAACTTAACTTCAGGAGTTAAGGAGAAAGTGAGAGGAGAGAAAATGAAGGAACTATTGGAATATGGCCTTTTCAAGGAGTTTAGCTACAAAGGACAGAAGAGATATGACGACAGTAGGGGAGACATGTGCACGTTTGTATGCAACAGGAAATGAGCCAATAGGCAGGGAGAGACTGAAAATAAGTTTACTTCAGGGCAGAATAACCCAAAAGAATAAATATTGTTTTCAAAGAAAAAAAGTGGAACATGAAAATTTCAAGGTTTGCTTAGGGTCCACAAATGCCATGATAGCTATAATGATGACCTCTGGTACTGCTCTAACCTAAATCGTTTGGGAGATTCTCTGAAGTTCCAACATAATTAATTGGTTAAAAATGTATGTTAAACCATCTCTCAAATATCTGTCTATATCATGTTAATCAAAAGAGAAGGAAAATTCTAACAGGGAAAAATCTGTCTAGAAAGAACTCTGGAATAACAATCCCAGTTTTTCTTGCTGTCACTGAAATAATGAAAATAGCATACAGAGTAGGTGCTACCCAGGCCCCATGGCTGTGTGCATTCAACTGACCAAGTCCTACCAAATGAATTATTGCATTCTGAAATTGCTAACAATTCTGTCACAATTTTATGTCACTTTGAGAAACCTGGGCATCCTAAAACATTAGAAACAACACCTTAAAAATTCTACTTACAGGGCAGCCAGATGGTGCAGTGGATATAGCACCGGTCCCAGAGTTAGGAGGACCTGAGTTTAAATCTAGCCTTAGATACTTACTAGCTGTGTGACCCTGGGCAAGTCCCTTAACCCCAAATACCTAAAAAAAAAAAAAGTTCTACTTACCTAACTGAGGCAAAAACCTCCCAGAACACTCTCAAAAACATACTACCTAGGTTACAGCAGCACCACAGGTCATCACTACAGCTGAAGGGGAATAGGCTTATCCAATGTCATATAGGTATTAACAGTACTAGA